CCCCCCCCCCCCTTAAAAAAAAAAAACAACATATGTCAATCCCAAACGATTTCCAAACTGAACTAGATATTCTAATATTCTATAAGTCTAGACTAAATGAAAGAGAGTCATTTATTTTAAAAATTAGAATGACTTCTGGTCTATCAATGCACCCAGTGTATGACATTATAGGCACACATAGGGCGTAGGCATAGGAATAGGATTAATTTAGAACTTGCATAGCATCAGTGTCAACTAACTCATGGACACAGAATTGAAAGATCCCTCATTTCTCATTACAAGGTGACCATTGTTACTATTTTTACCAGTTGGCTTAGTACGCTTACAGTAGTCCTAATGAGTAATGAGTTGTAACCAGTAAAGTAAAGACACAATAAAAAATTATTAATTTAGTTTTTAAAAATGTTACATCTGATGTCCAGAAATCAATAAATAAAACAACTAAAAATATAGCCTATGTATTTCATCTAAATTAAGAATTAGCTTCACAATAATAATTTTTTCTAAAAATCACCTAACAGACAGAAAAAACCCACTAATAACTAACTGTCTTTTTTTGGCACTGATGGTGCCAAAAGATTTTAAATGTCCTGGATTTAATTAGAATTTTGTTTAATTTCCTGGTTTGAAATTGAAAAAAAAGATCACTTTACTCTACTATGAATGATTAGAAAACCAAATTTTAATATTAAAAAAAATAATTAAATTTGGGTGCTTAGAGTCAGAATAGTATGTACACATCACCTTACCTACTTAATGGTAGCCCTTTGCTACTGATTATATCAGACCATAGACATGGACTTTCAGGCTCTATGATCTTTCCCCACAAGAAAATTCCTCATATGAAAATTCCGCACACAAAAATTCCTCACTTGAAGATTACACACACAGAAAACGCTCCACACAGAGATATATGCACATATAAAACTCTCCACAAAAAAAAAATAAGAATACAGTAAATTTAGTTAACAGGGCCAAATAGAATGTTAGAGCAGTGGTTCTCAACCTTCCTAATACAGTGACCCTTAAATACATTTCCTCATGTTGTGGTGACCCCAACCATAAAATTATTTTCATTGCAACTTAATAAATATGTGTTTGCTGATAGTCTTTGGTGACCCCTGTGTAAGCGTTGATCAACCCCCAAAGGGGAAGCAATGCACAGGTTGAGAACTTCTGTGTTAGAAGTATTTAAAATTGATCAAAGTTAGCTTACAACTTTTTACTGTTTAAGATTTCATTGACTGAATAAAAATGGCCACACCTCCAAATGACTGCATGGACTGTCGGCTGCTGACATTGCATTTCTGGAATCAACAACCACCTAAATTTGTGTGGCTAAAAATTAGCACTCACCAAGACACCCTCGCTGCTCAACATGAAGATGGCACATTTTCTATCCTGAAAATTAAAGATAGGGGGCAGGTCTTAAACTTTGTCTTGGATCCTAACCTCCAATGGTAAGTATTTGTTAGAATAGGCCATAAATAAAAGTTTAAGATTGTTATGAAAACAAGAAAATTTAATTAATATTAACCTGTATCATGGATGAAAGTTTGGTTTGTTTATGATGTTAGCTTCTTATATAAAATTGCTTATTATATTTCCAGTGTTTTCTGGGATCATGATGATTCAAGTGAATTGAGTCAAAGGTTGTATGCTCAGAGCTGTAGTAAAGACATCTTGCTCTATGCTGTCAGTGATGATGGAGTCACTGAGATTCTGCACATTCCCTATAGTAAATTGAACAGTGCCATTAAGGAGTATCTTTCAAGTCAGTAATGTTTTATGATACCAATTAGTAATCTGTATGAGAAGAATGAGACTTATTAGCAATCAGTATTAGAAGAATAAGACTGATAAGCAATCAGTATCAGAAGAATGAGTCTTATTAGCAATCAGTATCTGAAGAATAAGAATTATTAGCTCTCAGTATCAGAAGAATGAGACTTATTAGCTATAAGTATCAGAAGAATGAGACTTATTAGCTATCAGTATCAGAAGAATGAGACTTATTAGCAATCAGTATCTGAAGAATAAGAATTATTAGCTATCAGTGTCAGAAGAAAACCCCCAATGTTTTTATCCTTTTAAATTAAAGAATAAAGTATATTTTAATAATTTATTTTGATGCATGGTAATGAGAATTACATTTAGCTAACATAACTTAAAATGCATCTTCCCTACTGCTGTTAGAAATATTCTTTGCTACTTTCAGATGAAAAGGAAATTCAGTTAGTTGGATGTGATAGAGGCCACATCATCCTAAGCAATTCTCTCAACTTGATTTGTGTCCAAGTAACAAGTGAGGGCTTTATAAACTTCAGATATAATGTCCATCTGCCTCAAGAAAGGACTACTCCAGAAAATTCTCAATCAAGAATTGCTGTATTGCCTAAATACCAAATATTAAATGGGTCAATTGTAATTTATGATCCTAGTAGCTTGATGATTTGTATCCTTTATTGATTTTTGTATATTACAAAACATTACATTCTAATATTACGAGACATTGCATTCTAAATTACGAGACATTACATTCTAATATTATGAGACATTACATCCTAATGAAATTTAAGTAAATAATTAAACATTTCCACACACAAAATTTAGTCCAATCAATAATCAGGTTATTGAAACAGTAATTTTCATATAAATAATAACATTGTCACCTTTGCAATGCTTCAAAATTTCAAATAATAAATTAAATTGATAAAATGTTTTTAAAAATACCATGCCGGAGACCTTGACCTTAAAAAAAAAACAGACATACATTCTTTGATATTAAAGATGTGCATTTGTGAAGTTAACTTGCAGACACTATCTGCTGAGCTGGATTCTCTCAGTAGCTGGAAAATGTCCTATGACCTTTCTGTACTCATGTTATTATCTAAAGACTGGACTGTGGTGAGTGTAAACATTACTGAATATGCTCACCTATTCCCTGATCATGTCAGAAATATGGAGTACAGCAGTCATGGACAAGCGGGTACCCGGACTTACATGAGCTATAATTTGTGCAGATATGGTGATCTAACATGGAAACAAGAGGTTGTGGATCAACATTTAAATATCTCTGCTTGTTCAGGTCATGGAAAGAAGCCCTGTGGACTTGGATGCAGTACAAATGTTATAGGATTTCATGTGTTGAATAAAAAAAAGGAAAAGACAGTTAGTGCTCCAATCAATTCTGATGCCATCTCTTCATATAAACTGAGCCTACAACTGGATAATAAAATAAATACAAAAATCTGGCAAGTAGCAGCATTGGAAGTATCACATGACCTACTGGCTTTAGTTTTATTCAGGCAGGATTGCACCCTGAGAGCAGGCAAACACCTGGCCTTATGCTTCGCCAACTTTGCAGACAAGTCGGTCTACTTCCATGAGTAAGTAATCTACATATCTTTATAATAACAATAACTTTTTTGTGTATTGTTACTAACTCCTGGACTGCATTACTGAACTATAAAATATTTTAAAGACAGCAGAAGACAGCAACAAACCTAAATATTGAAAGAAAGTCTTTTAACATCTTGGTAATAAAACTAATTCCAAACGAAAATAGTTAACAACCCATTCAAATTCTATTATTATGTAGGTCTGCAAAAAATTGTCCATTCTGCATTATATAATTCCACACTGACGATAATTCTGCGCTAGATGCCTTCATTCTTAAAGTTTTAAACAACAGCTGGAGTCTTGTAGTTCTCCACTACTTTAAAGAAAATGTCAGTCGTTCCTAAGTGAATATTTCTTTATTTCATGCTAGTATTAGTGATGTAACATGTTTTTTATTAGTTTTGGTGATACATTATATCTTTATAAGTATTGATGAAACAACATATGGCTATTGATGATCCAACATGTGTCTCTTTCATTCTAGTATTGGTGAAACAACATATGACAATTGATGATCCAATATTGTCTCTTTCATTCCAGTATTGGTGATACAACATATGACTATTGATGATCCAATATGCGTCTCTTTCATTCCAGTATTGGTGAAACGACGTCAGTTGCACTCTCAGACAAGCCCAGCTGCTCACACATCTTGATGTCTGACAAATATCTCATGTTTGTTTCCCCACACGGACACTTGCATAAGGACGGACTCATTTCATGGGTAACATCTAATATAAGGATGGCCAGA